ATTGTAGTAATGGTAACTGAACGGAACTCTGGGTCACCTGCTATTGTGAACTCTGATCAAATAACTTTTTTTAAGTTGTAATTGTTGGTTCCTGTGGCAATTTTAATGACTGAGTTGAAGGGGGATTTGCTTTGGAACTTTCCCATCCCTGGAGTGTAATGTTTTAGGATGGTGCCAGAGTTGCATCTACTACCATTTTTGTTTCAACATTCTGGATGGGCCTGTCTTCCACTCGGACTTGCACATAGGGATAGAACCCCTTTGTGAGATAATGGTAATGAGGAATATATTCCACCCATGGTGTAGACCTCTGCTTTGCTATGGAAAAGGCAGAAGAGTGAATTAATAAATAAAAATAAACAAAAGCCTTTTTGTCCAGTGAGAAATGTTCATGGTGCTACAAGTAGTCCCTCAGTGAAGGGCCCCTGCTTTGTGTATTACATTCACGCAGGTGTTTGCGTATCATATGAATAGCTCTAATTGCCAAATCAATTGGTAACAAAGACTTCCTGTGTCGGTCACCCCTACTTGAAAAGTTGGGGAGAGACCATTGCAGCCTTTCAATAACTTTGCCACCTAATGTGTAAACTGAGACTGTGTAGTTGGTCTGGACTTGTTTCATGTGTAAATAAACATCACATTGATGGTTTTGTGTATTGAGGAGTGGACGTGTGTGATTTAGAAACGCACCCATAAAGAAAGCCATAGCGTTAACATGTCTGTCATTGGGGGTTGATTTACTAAAGGAAAAATAAGTTGTCCACTTTGCAAGGTAATTTGCACTTTGCAGAGGAATGTTCCCATAGGCTGGGGGATGTAAAGACATTTTATGTAAAAAATACCCAATCTTGTCTTGAATTGTATTGTGATTTGTAATGCCTTCCTTTATATTGTAAAGCGCTGCGCAAACTGTTGGCACTATATAAATCCTGTATAATAATGTGCAGGGGAAAAAAATACAGGTATTTTTGATTGCACATGTTAGTGATGGAATTCAGCAGAGCTTTTAGCTATGGAAAAACTCCCTTGCAAAGGGAACAGCCTATTGTGTTTAGTAAATCAATCCCATTGTATCTGTTTACCTGAAACTGACTTCTCATGTTAGGAACAAATACAGTGCATAAAATGTGACTGCTTGTATGCCCAAGAGTGTGGTTGGCAATTGCTGCTGAACTCCAGGGACATGAGACGTGTTGTACTACAGTGGGATGAAAAATCCAGGTAGTTCTTGTTTTTATTGGCCCAGTTGACACCCCAGTGCTGCAATTGCGTGTGCTGAAGAAAAACCTGCATGCAATACTATATTCCACAAAGCCATGCACAATGCACTACAACAGAATTGCACAGAGCCTGTGTAATTTCAGTAATGTTGTAACAAAAAGTAAACGCTGAGACGTTGGGATAGGCTCATCAGCACTGTGGCAGTGCATTTGGCTGGCTGCTGTGAACTAGCCCTAAGGCCTTGTTCACGCCTAGGCGTTTTGTTCACAAAAACACGTGTTGCAAACATATGAAACAAGAAATCCTATTCATTCCTATGGCCCCTGTTCACACCTGAGTTTTGTCACACGTTTATAATGTCTGTCACTGGAAAAATGACATTAGCTTTTTTTTGGCAGATTACAGCATGCTTTGTTCCCATGGCCTCCATAGGAAAAGCTCAGAAATGCATGACTGGTGTGGGGTTTTGTTTTTCTTTGCGTGTTTGCCCATTTTTGGGCCTCAGACGTTGCTTTTGAAAGGAAATGTAAATCCACTACCTGACTATATGTAGAGCTGCTCCCTCTATCCTCAACCAGTTATAAATTGGGGATCCACAACCTGCTGTTTATGGTGTTTGATGGGCTAAAAAGCTGACAGCTTAAAACCGTAGTCTCTTGGAGGCCATTTAATTGCAACACTGGAGGACCAGATATTGCCTGTGGGCCAGATCTGAAGTTGCAGCTCTTGAAACTTGTTGGCAATTTTTCTTTATACAGGCAGTCCGAGTTACAAACACCCGACTTTCATTTGAACCCTACTTGCAAACGGGCAATTACTGTACAGCAGCAGGGTCCCAGGCTGCAGCCAAAGTGTACTGCGTAGCATTTCAGTCATTGTAATGCTACCACACTCTCAAAGGAGTGCCCGCCTTTTTGGGCCTGGTTCGTAGTACTGTACCTACATTACAGGAAGTTGGCTCTTGTTAGACGTGCAGACGAGGGGTGCCCGCCTCTTCCGGGTCACTGAGTTTTTTTTTTTTACTGCTGTCTTTATCCTCATTAGAAAGATGTAATCTCACTTTCTGTCCTTGAGACAACAGGAAGTGAGGTAATCTACCCCTAGGAAGGTAAATTCACTCCTGTAAGTTATTATGGGGAAAAACGTGTCTCCACTGAAGCTATATCGCCAAGCCTTGTTTCCAATTTTCTAAATCCAATTGTCACAGGGACAAAGTGAGGTGAAATCTCCTTAACAGGGGCACACACAGCAAAACAAACGTTATCGGGGAGTTAACCCTTACTATGCTATTTAAAACTAAAACAAATTCCCCTAACTTCTTCCAGGACGGCATCACGAGATGGAATCTCCTCCCCCACACACGGGGAAACCCAAATTCCTTAAAAGACCCTCTTCTCCACTCCCTCAGTCTTGTGTGTTTCCTCAGTCAAGCTGGGTAGCGTGCCACAGAACGCTGAGAGGGGCTTCCATGTGGTGATGCTGCCCGGAAAGTCTCTTTTTCTAAGGCTGCCTATGTAGGGCAGATTGAGTAGGATTCCTACCTGTTTGTGAGCCCCAGTGATGCTCATGAGAGGAGTCTGGCTTCTCTTTTTCCTTCAGTGCCCAGTGAGGGCTGGGACCGGGAGGACGAAACCCCCTTGAACTGGAGTTGCACTTAAAAAATGTACAAACTTACATAAAGAAATTTACCTGTTCAAACTTGCATGCAAATTCAACGTAAGAACAAACCTACAGTCCCTATCTTCGTAACCCAGGGACTGCCTGTACTTGGGTTCAAAAACATTCTGGAATCTCTGTTAAAGCCTTATACGTTGGTTTATAGTGAACTTTTCTTACTCCTGATGACGGCTCCTCTGGGGTCAGGACCATGAAGGTTGTATTAGACCTAATCTCACCATAAACCTAAATATTCTATGCATCCATCACTATTTGGACAAAATTGTCATTCGTTTTAGTGCTGCCCTCAGTGGGTCTGTTTGCTGGGAGAACATCTGACATTGTGCAGAGACGAAGGACCCAAGCCACATATGTAAAACTAGAAGTTTGTATTGATCTTTAAAGTGGTCACATGTTGCAATCTCCTTTTTAGACGTACCGTCAAACATGTAGTGTGAAGGTTTCCCTGAACCTAACTCAGGCAGTCTCTTCGACTACATGATTGGGAAAACCCAAAGGAAATTGTGCGGATGGTAATAAGCCTGTCCACATCGAATCATTAAGGCTTACATATTCCATTTTAGGGATATAGTTTAGACAAAAAAAACCCCAATTATTGTAAAAGTAATAAAGGCCGCAATTGGTTTCAGTGGCTGAGACACCCTGCATGTAAAGATACTGTATCATTATCTTCTGGCAGTATGAAAAAAAACAAGTGACTCTAATGAATTCAGTGAAGATGCCTGAGGGAGCTACAAGCCAAGAATGTACATGAGAAAGCAACCATAACCTGCTGCTACATGTAAAGATGTGTACACAAGTAAATGGAGCATTATGGAAATGGCCAAGCACATAGGGAAATGCTGCCTTCCATAAATTATTTGTGTATTGTGATGGATATGGTCATTTTTCTTAATGCTGTGATGTGTAAATTCTGTGCTATTAACTGTTCTTTCGGCTAATGCTTTTCTAGCTTCTATTTGGTGTCTCGTTGCATATTTGTGCTGGGAAATTTAATGGGGCCAATACACACCACATTTATACGAGATGCAGCACAAATTACATACACGCCCCATACCGCAATTTTATAGGGTACCTAAACTAGCGTGAGTATTAATTTTTAAAGTTGTGTGTGTATATTATGGAGAAACTGAAACTAATGTTTATTAAATGACAGACTTCTAAACTTAATCACTTTTTGGTGGATTAACAGAAGTGTAGGGAATGGCCTTTTCTCTTTAAGATTATAATGGAGCTCAAAGTAGTGTTTTTTTTTTGTTTGAGTGTCCCATTGGGGAGATTTCCACTAGCTTCCTATCCCAGAGTCAATGGCAGGTGAGAGGAAATCCTCTTAGCAGTTGTCCAGTGAAAAGTTTTAATATTGGGTTTGAGATGAATATCCCCTGTTGGCACACGGACAACCTTAAATGCCCGACAGCAGGTCTAATCCTTCCATATATTCTGCCTAGTTATGCAAAATCAGAGCTATGAGATGGTGGTATGATCTATCCACCACCATATACTGTAATTCCCTACTTGCAAACCTTCAAGTTATGATCTTTCTAAGCTGCTAACATAAGTTTGCATGTCCAACTGCTTAAGTTGGTTCACGTGTCTGGCACACTGTCACATGCTTGTGCTTCTGTGCACTTGCATGTATAAGTACAGTATCTTTATTTCAAGCCAAGGATGTCCATTAGCAAGTGTAAAAGCATTAGGGATGTAGCTGGGTAACTAGGCTAACTGTGTTTGGACTTACGAGCGTGCTCTCAGAACGGAACCACTTTGTAAGTAGGGGACTTGCTGTATAACAAAAATTATTTTCATAAATGTGCATGATCTTTTCTGCCAAATCTGCATGGATCTGAGGGGGTGAGGGGAAACTGCTAAAATCCATTCTGACCTATTAATGTATTAAGGTTCCCTTTTCCTCCAGACTGGTCGGTTTGGAGATTATTGTGCTTGTTGCTATGTTTCAGACAGTCGTTTTTTAATCTGATTGTAATTAGCTGGGCTGGGAAATGATCATCTTGTATGCGTGGGTAGCTTTGCTTAATCCTCTTTCATTGAGGGTTTTTATCATAATTTGATCTAATTGCATTTCCTTCCTCCTCTCTTTTAAGCATCCACAACGTGAGCCCGGGAAACTTAACGTCGGAAGACTTGGTTCTGAAAACTACATTTGCGTTGAGGAATCCGATGTCTCCATCACTGAGAAGAGTAAGTGCTTCTACAGTGACTACTGTATGCATGCTTTATGTATGGATTTTTCTGATGCGCGTCCCCAGTCTCAGTGGACTTCCCTTAGTATTCTGGCTCATGTCTATACCAAGGCATTTAAATTCCAGCACGTGGCGTTTGCCACTTTGTGATTTGTATAGATTGTTAACAAATGAAGCTTTACGAAAACGAGGTAAAGGACCGAACACGCTGAGGGATACAGATAGATGGTGAACTGTATAAGTCGGGGCTGGACAAATGCCAGGTGCCAGGTCACCAATGCGTCTTAAAATTCACATCTGGTGCCTAACTTTTGGAGGTTTTCCCTAGTTGTCAACAGAGCTGGCTCCTGGATAGGACCGTGGCCCCTGAACTTCATATTTGTTCACCCCTGTCCTAAGCTATAAAACTCACTTTATCATTTTGTATAATGATACGGTCTCTGTTGATAGAGACCCAATATCAACACAGAAGCCATCTTGCTCTGAGTTTTTTGCTCATTGTCATGCAGGAAAAATTTAATGTTAAGTGAAAAATGCCCTTGGTGACAGTGAAGCTTTATTTGTCCGCCACAGAAGGGCCATTGTATGTTTCTACTGATGGCATTGAAAGCAGTCAATGCTCGGATTGCAGCAAAACACTTTGTAGCAACTCCTGGCATTCTGTGTTGTAGCAGATCTACTATGCTGACAGTGGGAGGTGGTGTGTATGTGGAAACTGCAGCACATGGCTTTTAGAATGCACAATCTGTGCATTCTTTCAAAATATGTGCACACTATTGTGTCGCTGCCATGCTTTATAATTTTAGTGAATACACCAAGGTAACTAAATGCATTCACCGCAAAATCTGATGGAAATGGCAAGAGTCAGATGAGGGTCTGTTGACTTGCAATTGTACCTTGCGATCCGTTTTTCAGATGCGAACAGATGGCAACCCAAAATTGAATGGGTGTGAATGGGGCTAGTTCCCATCAAATCCGTTGCGTTACATCGCTCTGAAAAAGTAGCGCATGTTCTGCTTTTTCCAGTGCCCTTCCATTGGTATCCGTAGAAACATATATCTCGGCACAATGGATTTGGTGTGAATGGCACTTAAAGATAACCAATTGGATAACCACTCTAGGCCCCTTTCACACGGCCCCTCTGATCGGGTCCACTTGTCAGTTTTTGCAGACGGACTCTCAGATGCACAATGCAAGTCTATGGGCAGCTGTGTGTAAACTGACAGGCGTCTGTTACCCCCGCCTCTGGCCAGGGTCCAGAGAAATGAATGGAGCAGTGTTCCATTTTTGCCGGACCAGTTCGGGGGTAATCTGATATAAATGAACACTCAAACTGTCATGGGATTCGGTAATTGCAGTTTTATTTCCTCCATCACAAGATGGAGGAAAAGCTGTATGGACATGGATGTCACAGTGGAGACATCTGCTCCATACTGCTCTGATCAGGAGGTGATCCATGCATGGCTCCTCTCCTGATCAGCCAGTGTTACAGGGGCCTAAATATTGTGCAAGTGCATGCAGCACTTGTGTGAAAATTCTGCATGCTTACTGTTGGCCAGTGATGCTCATAAAGATGACATCCTGGAGTATGCATCTTCGACCCAAGTTGACAATGGCAGATCCCATAATTCTATGCTTAGATGTTCACCTTTTTTAAAGTGTGTTTTTCCACTTTGGCAACACAAATATAGTGGGGTTTTCTCAAATGTGACCAATTCACACAGCATACTAAAAAAACTCTTAGGAGAGCAGGCCTCCTTTGGGTAAACTGCAAGCTCCTCTGTCTTGGGCACAGACTAAAGTGGCCTTGGAATAGTCGGGTTAGGAAATGCATTTTGATTTTGTTAAATCTGGTTAGGGGATGACAGTTTCTGGCCCTTGGTCCGATATTATACGGAATTTGACCGTTTGTTTCTGCATGTAATGGCACAATGTAATCTTGGCATGTACAGAATGTTTCATGCCTAGATCAGACCCTCCAAAATCTGTTTGTAATCTTTTGCTAAACTATTGCTTTCCATGATACATCTGCAACGGTTATGGACTACATAATTACATATACGGAGATGTCCATGAATCTGGTTAATTTTGGTTTAATCTGTTAGTTATGATCAGCCACGTACTTTATTTCTGGATTTCCAAAGTTACTGTGGTGCACTCGAAAAAGTCAAGAAGCTCCTGTGCCTTTCGAGAAGCCCCTGAACTCAAATGCTTTGGACTCAATACAATGGCAGGCAAATCTTCCCTACCCTGTTCCTTTACAAACTATGGGAGCTGTTCCCTGCATCGTGTATAGCACTAGGTGGTTTTGCAGGCTCTTGAGTACATAGGACTTTTGCTATGTAGTGCAGTATAATGTAGATGGTCTCTTGATCAGTTCAGTTGACTTGAATATTCAAGTAGAACAGTCCTTAAAATCCACATGTAAAAGTGTAGCGAATGTCGGCTTTACCAAATAAAGCTTATATTTTTAATAAATCTGAGATCACATGAGTTATGACTACCAATTGGGCATTTGCATTTTTTTAGTCTGATGCTTCCTGGGCTAAAGTGCCTACAGATATAAATGATCCATTTCTGGCCACACCAGGGATTTACCCTGTAGGTAGGATAGTTTTGATGTCTCCTGGCCAAGCCTTCATGGGAAACTATCAGCTGGGATGGATTTTCCTGCCCAGTATCTATTGATTTCCACCACAGCTGTGGGTGTATTTCAAGCTTCCCCTTTAAAGTTTACTCATGTGATTTGTATGATCGTCCATCTTTACGGTCATTAAACAGCCAGTCCATGGCAACTTGAGTCTATAGACAACCGCAGATTTACAGCCTTTACACAAACATGATTTTTATTACATGAACCTTCATATATAAATTACATTGATGGCTAAAAAAAAAAACCTTTACAAAACTACAGTTGCTCCTTTATGGCTGAGGTTATATGCTTTTTTAATGTTTCTTGGATATTTATATTAAGGCAATACATTTAATGTCATGCATCAGTGTGTATTTGAATAGTTTTATAACCTTGTGCACATGGGGACAGCCACTTCGTTCTTATCTCATTACTGATGATAAACAATATCGTCTTTGTGGTAATTGGTAGCTGGGGGCCCTGTGATCTGGGGTGCCTAGGAGCTGGGGAACAGTGTTTTCTTCATGAAAAACATTCCCTATTACAAATATTGCTAACCAACTTGTAATGCATATATTGATCCAAATATGAACTCTTCAGAATCTGAGTGGCTGGTTAGTAATTTCACGTGGGACATTTTAGTGTACTAGATGGACCAAAGAGTGAGTTCCAATCCTATGGACAAGAATGTCATCACTGGCAACATTTGATGCATCTTTAATGTCTGACCTACCCTTTATGTAGAATGTAAAACTGGTTCGGCAAATGATGGACCTACAGATTATAGCCCAATAGGTAAATTTTAAAGGTGCCCCTGCCACTTGTAAAATGGTAAATACATGACCAATATATGTACTATATATACAGTCAATATTTTATAGGTGCATGTAGCCTGCAGAGATCCAAACACTACTTTGTGTTTATCTGCAAGTGTTTGGCTGTTATAAGGAGGCAATGGCTAAATCTTGACTAGCATGCTTACAAATCTTTCCCTAAAGGTCACCCCTTTTTACTAGTTAATGTTGGGCCAGAACATCAGCAGTTTTTGGTGCTTGTCAAATATGTGAAGAGCAGTTTCAGATCTTAAAGTCTGTGTGATTGTTTTTTGTTTTTTTTTTGTTTTTTTTTATTTGCAATATAAAATGGGGTATAATTGTGTGGCTGTGTTTGTTAATAGTCGTTTCTTCCAACAGTAATCATGATCCATTTCTTCTTCTT